TCGATTAATTGAGCAGCCTTACATAAAGCTCCTGTAAATCCAATATTATCTTAAAGCAGTTTTTCTTATTGATTTGCAACATTGCTCACAATTGTCTAATAATGCCTGGAGATATTAAAAGGGATGGTTACCTTAATATTAAAAGCATAGCAAAATGATGGAAAAACTAATTTCTATCATCTCAGGACATTTATTGTCATATCACCAACCCTTTGCTATACTAGTATGATGTGATCAGTTTACATTTAAAATGACGTTTTTAAAACTGTAATTGCAGAGGTGAAGAGGGATTTTTTAAATCAGTTTTGTTTTGACTTTTGTGTTCATTCCATTAGCAGCGAAAGTCATGAAAAGTTAATTTCATATAGAGATTTTGGAAAGCTAAAAATGATAAAAGGACTCAACACAAAACTGCAAATGTCAGACTGACACACAAACTGTCTCTCCTTCTAAAGTTAACAAACAACAACTAGTGTTGCAGGGGACACTACACAGTACAGGTTAAACAAGTCTGACCCAACTCTTCTCCAGAAAGCCAGACTGCAGCCTTCTCCAGTTCTTACAGCCAGCCACCAAGCAAACATCCTCCTTCTCCACTGCACATCCTGATCTCTCAAGAGCGAAACTGGGAGATATGATAACACATCCAGCTTAACAGAGGTAGCACATCCCAATTGATCTGTCTGTCAAAGTCTGGCACTCAAGTTGCTACAAGGAGGAGGATGAAATGCAACAAAGGTCAATATCACTGATCAATAGAACAAATTCTCCAATTCTCCATCACTCCACTGAGACAGGATAAGAGTCTTTGTCCGGGGCAAACGTCTGTCAGGTCAGGACCTCGCCGCTCCATTTAGCCACAGCTGCAGTGTTTTGATGTATGGTCTGATCCGGGTCAGCTGGAGCAATATGGTATTGTTATTGTTGTTAAGGTCCGTATGCAGTCAGTCAGCAAGACCGACAGCAAATAAAGTCATTCATCAGTAAGAGCCGAGGAGAATTTGAGCGACTTGGGAATCACAACAAATGTGTGCACAAATAAATGTGGTTTTTGCATCAAAACAACACTGAACATGAACATTATGCGTAATTCGGTTAGATGAGAGAATGAAAACAAGCTGCTGCATTAAAAACACATGCAGTTTCGCCTGTTCAGTGAACGTACCGGGGGAGAAAAAGACATTCACAGAATAAACAGTGAAGGTCACATTATTGTCGCATTATTATAGGTGTCCAGGTCAACTGGAGAATTTGCTCCAGAGACAAACCTATACTCTCCAGTGGCTTCTAATACAATATTCAAATAGTTGTGCTGTTCTACACTATTGAGCAACTAATTGTAAAATACAAAAACATTGCTTGACTAATGTATAGGGTTGCAGTAATGTTCCATAGGAAGAGAAAACACTACCATAACAACAGGTATTCTCTCCCGAGGGTCAAATCTAGTACATGCAATTAACATGATTGTTTCCAGTTGAGTTGTGACTGTGTTATTACAAAAAAAAAACATGTTGTCAAAAGCACTCCAGCATCTGAACAAACTCAGCCCCTCAAGCTGCTGATATGAATGAAGCATAGCTGTATTATTGTGTGACATTGCCAATTCGATCACATTCATATAATAAAGCAAAACTTCCATGGCACAAAAAAAAAAGCTTTCAGCCTCCATCATTTTTATCCAGGATGAGGATTCATCAACCATCCAGCACACTGCACAGGCTGCCCCTTGCTTTCAATCTGAATTAAAAACGGGGTTGACAGTTGACCACTGATGCACCATTAACTTTACAGCAACGTGCATGTGCAATGTAGATGGAAAATGTCTGATTTATTACAGGACCGCATAGTTCAATCGTTAGTTGCTCTATTAAAAGCAGCAGACCGTGACATTCCCAAACGTGCAGAGGTGCAGTCCGCGGATCCAAGGGTAACGTTCAAAAATGCACCGTGTTTGTGAAGCGATCGGGAGGAACGTCCCCGCTTACCTTTGAACCGTCTGTGCTTATAATCCACTCCTATAGGGCGGGAATGACTCCATGTCCGTGTTTGGGTCCTGATTTCCCAGTAAAATCCACAGTATTGGGGTTTTATTTAAGAGGTAATGCCTGTTAGGACCGGAGCAGGGAGCCACACAGGAGAGAAGGCGCAACTTGAAACTGACAGAGAGGGATCGGTCGAAACCGTAACGGCGACAAGGAGGGGGGAGCGAGTGAGACTATAAATACCAACATGTTATCTTAACATCGGTAGCTCATTAATTCCACCTTTATACGTGCTAAAGCGAGATTACAGTAACATATAAGGGGGTCGACTTAGACGAAACTATGTTATGTTAGAATACAGCTGGATTTATTTGAAAATGCAATGTGAGAAACCCCCACTGCTCCTTGGAGTGAGCCTGCGTGTTTTAACTCAGTTTAATCCGATTGGTCTCTTCCAACGTGACGCAGCAGTACTGCTGCCTTCACGTGGTGTCAGAAACATTAGGACTGGTTTACACAACAGGGAAAGGCGGGCGGGATTTTATATGGTAGCCCAAATGCAGATTTTTTTTTAACTTCTCAAGTAATGTCTTAACAACTTAATAACAAGGTCATAACAGTCAAGTTGATTTCAATAAGATCAAATTTTATTTTTTAAAAAACAACAGTTTATTTAAACTCACTGAACGCACAGGCTAATGCTCTTGGGTCTACATTGTTGCTCATTTGTTCAATTGAGTTATTAAAGTAATTCAGCAAGCACCCAGCAGTTTCACATGGCCTCTGCCCTCTGTAAAAGAAGTAGCAGCAAGGGTTGAGTCTTTTAATTTGTTAAGTACAGGATGTAATTCCTCAGTCTCATTGAATTTGTTGTGTCTGTCTGCTATTGTCTCTTCCACAGTATCCTGAAAAATATAGCCTAATTCAAAAGCCCAATTGCTTGTTTTCTAACAAAGCACAGACATGGATTGTGCCGTGGTTTTAGACAGGCTGAAGTTTGCCTTAGTGGAAAACCACTTTAGATTACAACTTGGGAAAATTATAAGTTTCAAACAATCGCTTTCAAATGCCAAGGCATCACATGGAAAACAGTATAGTGAGTTCTTTGGCTGCTTCCCACAGACAGAAATATGCATTGCTGATACACTGCTTTGTTCTGTCCCAATCACAACACAAACCAAGACCTATATTCATACTACAAAAACACACTATGCTAATCCAAATAACCTACCAAACGCTGTCCTGATTACCCTTCTGTATGTGTCTTGGCTGATTCAAAAGGAAAGGTCAATGACATGCAGGCCCTTCGAAAAACCCACTCAACTATCAAAGTCACAGCAGCAACTGCTTTACGGGCTAAAAACAGTATAATCAGTGCAAATGTGACTATTTAAGATAAAGGTCATCTACCTTGATCAGATGTGTATATTCACTACTGAATACAATGCTATGCTGAGCCCTCATCAGGCTGTGCTGAAAGGAGGAACCCTTATGCTATCAGCTCTCTGCACAGTCTCGGTCTCTCCCTCTTGAGCATCCAGCAAGGCGGACAGCGTCCTGTCACTGAACAGATAGGCCTGTGTGGCTGGTTTTCGGAGAGCACGCAAAGGCATTTGTAATCCCTCACAAATATGCTGTGTAAACTTCAACTTGAATACTTGGAAGGACCGTCAGTATTTTTGTTCATTCAACAGACTGTATATCACTTGTTCTCCTGCCTACATAGTTCTGTAAAAGGGTACAGGGATATTTAATGGAATTATATACAAGAGAAGATATACTGGGATATGTATTGAATAAGACACAATATAATACCAGAAAGGTCATACAGGATTGGTTCAGCAGTGAAATGTTATTTGCCTCAAATAAGTACTGTGCTGCACGGTCACAGGCATTGGCTGTCTTTGCCAGAAAATGAAATAATCATTAGTGTAGCTCCAGACTTGCTTATTATGGGGGTTACGTAATGCTTTCTTGTAGGGTGGTAAAAAAACAACAAACATTAAACCTCACCTCCTATAGCATATAGAGAACTGGCCTCTGTGCTGCTGCATACCTGTGTAAGTACATAATAGCTCAAAACTCAAAACAAGAATTTGTTAACTTTATCATTAAAGGCATTAGTCAGGTAGTCACTGAGTTTAAAGACCCACATTCGTGCAATTCAGCATATGCTAAAAATGTAGCTCTCTCTGTTATGTAATTGAAAACCTTTACCTAGCATCACATCTCTCACATTTTATTGCAATACTAATATGAGGTTCAAAACTACGCTAATTAATACCATCAACATTCTGACTGTGAGAGAACTTGCAGCCAGGAAAGCTTCCTGTCTTCACCACCACAAGGACATTTTACATTAGGTCTCCAATCAGAACAAGCTGCCCTAGTTGGATTCGCACAGATTTGCTAATTAAACAAACCACAGGGGGATGCAGGATGTCAACCAGGTCTGCGTGTGTGAAAATGAGAGAGAAGGGAAGACTTGAAGGAGTAGCAATGAAAAATTAAGGACTGAGATTAGGAGTCAGGAGCAGAATGGCTCACTGCCATTTCACAATACATTAGAGTTTCGCCACATTATGAAACCGCCTGTAATTGCACTGAGCACCCTGGTTCCCACCACGCCTCTGTTCAATAACTGAGGTCTGTCATCACCAGACATGCAGACAAAGGGTTGTCTACCTAAGGTGAGGCCTGCTGCACACATTACCAACATAACAAAGGAATTACACATGATGTCATCCCAGAAATCATCAAAGGCATCTGCCATATCACATTATCAAATACAGATGACAATGGATTGCATCCAGTTTCCATTCATCCAGCTATGATGAAGCTGATGAAAGAGGAAGGTACTTACAGTACAGAGGGAAGGCAGGCACATGCTGAAGCTCCAAAAGGTATTCCTCTGGCTGGGATTTGTTCTCTTTCTATTTTCCTCCCTCCCTTTCCCCTGTCTCTTTCTGTCTCTCCTCCCGCCTTCAACCCCCCCCCCCCCTTCTCACCACAGCAAGATGCTGCCTGGACCAGTGCTCGTTGCCATGGTAACCAAGACTGGGGGAATTGTCACGTGGCCCTATCTCCCTTGGCACTGATTGGTCTGACGCACAAAAGCAAGGAGGGAGGGATGGGGAGGGGGTGATGTCACACGCCCACCGGTTCCAAATGGGAGGGATCCTCGCTCAGGCCGCCTGCGAGCACACACAGACACAATGGGCGTCTTTTTAAGGTGGGGTTGAGCTGAAGTGGAGCTATTAGACCAGCCCAGGATGCTTCTACTTGACTGACTGACTGACTGACTGAATAGCATGCTGAATGACTTATAGGACTTCTGGCTTGCTGATCTGATATGTCGGGCATGGCTCTGGCTCTCTGGCTCAGCTGCCCTCCAACTGTCATTTGCGATGCTGGGACGCTCCAGCACTCCGTACTGCCAGGGGCCAGGATGCAGAAATAACACAAGTGTTACAAGACATTCGAGAGCACCCGTATGCGGCAGCTTGACCTGCTGGCCTACCACACTTCAACCTCTCCTTCAGGGGCTGCAGGGGGCTATTTATAACACTGCAGAAACCAGACAGATGCATAACTGCTACTATTTAGACACAGTAATATTCATAATGCATGCAAAGGCAAACATTCAAACAGTAAAACAGTTGAATTTATGATCAATGAGACATACAATCCAGGGGCAGATAAATCAATGACCTAAATGTATTCCCTGAATTAAGAAATGACATCAATACTGCACACATATCACCCTCAATAAACACAAAAGCTAACACAGCACCATGGGCATGTGCTGAACAGCCTATGTGCCACAATGGCATAATGATAAGTGCCCTGCTGTCATACATTTTACAAGCTTTTTACAGACTTGAATGCTGAGGAAAAGCTTGGCACAAGAACAGCAGCAATGAAAGCAGCATTGAACTGTTGAGTGAAAGCGGGGGAAAAAACAGGCTTTCCATGTTCATTGAGGCAATAAAAGATTTCAGAAAGAGAGCTTGGGTGTTTCGCATCCTATTTGAGGGAAAGTAGGTCTCTGTCAATTTCACACTCATTCCCAACGATGACATGAGTAATCATGGTCCAGGCTTGTTGTCCAGACTGTTGTGTAATGGTCTGGGATTGGTCCAGTTCTGCCAGAGATGAGAAATGTTCTCGTTCTGGGAGAATCTGATTTTTTTTCTGAGCTGATGCCATATGTTGCCTTTGTAAGGTATTGAGCAACTTCAAAATATGCCTCACTAGTCCTACGTAGACAGTTCTCAGAGTTGGTGGTCATTTTTTCTGTGTTTTTATGTGTGTGCCCTTCATTTTCTGATGGACACAAATAGAACACTTTGCTCAGTTGGACATGGACAGAAACCCACACACCTGCCATCTTTGGGCGTGTCATTACATTCAAAGTATATGCATGACAGAAATACACACCTTCCTCCGGCATGTGTCTTGAATGTGTTCAGTATTTATTCATGCAAAATATGGAATGTTTTAAGTCCATTCCTTCCTTTATCCACATCAACTGTCAGGCTGCCTGAATTGATCAGAAAAGTAGCTCAAATATCACGCTCCGAAGGCAACAAGGGCTATGCATTATGCAGCATTTTTTCTTCTAATGGTATAACTGGGCAGTGAGCTTCATAAATTATTAATAAAACATGCACCACTGTCTCCAAAGCCTTCTGTTTCTCTACATCCAGACACATAAAGGTGTTATTAACTTTCTTTAATGGAAGTCAATAATACTAGTGAATAGACTAAATAAAGCTGTCAGTGAAACCGTTTTATACATGCAGTATGAGTTTGAGGTTGTGGTGGAACTGAACAGTGTCTATGACTACATATTTGTTTCTGCATGTGTGTATGGTGGCCTGAATTATGACAGACCATAGGTTAAGCATGTCCAACCATGTTCTCTGACAGAACTGACACAACATGGAAGTAGGCCACAGTAAATGAATCCCAGACCTATCATGTCAGTGAATATCCCGTACTAAGGCTGTCACTGGCTTTCCCCCAGTTTTATCAAGTCTTATATACATACTCTCATTGCCCTTTCACTCATCCAATGAGCATGAGGGGATGATGAGAGCAATACTAGCAGCAATAATACTAATAGCTGATCTCATCATGTTTGTGGCTTGTCATCAGGAACCTGTTACAGGCCAGTGAGCATTGGGCTGC